TCATTTTAGTCCTCAGAGGTGATAACGCATCTCCGTTTTGATTTTTATTCGAGGATAAATGAAGATATCTACGGGCCACAGCATCAGGTGGACTGTGTGCTCCGTTTGTCACCCTCATTCTATGAAAAAAAAGTTGGAACGTAAGTAAGTTTGATTGTAACTTAAGTTTAATAAAAATAAATATTTATAAGATAAAAATCACCGTTATTATATAATATATCATAATATAATATTTATAGATAATATATTTATATATTATAACGGTCGCCGTTTCCCTTGAGAGGACTACTCTACATTAGTATATATTGAATTTAAGAGGGAAGTCCAAATGATTGCTCACCTCGTCATAATCCGGAGTACGTACTACGTTTGGTAGAGCTTTTGTAACAACTCGACCGTAGGCATCCCGAGGAATCGAGGTATATTGGTATCTAAACCTGTAAGAAAATCAATTTAGTTACAATTTTTATTCACAAAATTCCATTTCCAAAAAATTCGGGATTTTCTGAAACGGTATACATATATTAAACTAAGGGACCTAGAAGAAAAACGACCCCCCGACTACACGACACGTGACGACCTAGTAAAACATGATGGAAGTTGATGAATGCTGTTGGCTAAGGAACGTGTAACATGGTAATCCTTTTAATGATGATGTATTATGTATAAAGTTATAAAGATTTGTATTTATATGCAAATTCGTAGCTACTCATAGCTACTCGTGACATGGCCTCAACGAAAACTGCTCAGAGTTTAATGATTGAAAAAAATCTGCCTAAAAATTCAACATAGACAATAAAATCCATTCATAGCTGTGTCAAACATATGAAACACGATTATACTGGTAGCTACGTAATCACTGATTGTACAGCTACAGTACCAGGTTTATATTTGAGATTATACCATATTATTATTATGTTTTAAAAAAATTGTAACCAGCCTAGATGTAAGAAATATAATCCTAACAAACTTCCAACTTTGTTACAGTGAATAACAGTTTTGTAATAGTATATGAAATAAAAATTAAAAAAATTTGCAACTTTGAATTCAAATAATTATAAATTAAAACAAATTATATATAATTTTACATTAAAGTTATAATTTATGTTTCACTTACAATAGAAATTAATTATTAAATGTTAATTTATAGGTTAAAGGCGATACAATAAGGTGTTAATTATTATACAAATTAATTATGAAACAAAGTATATTTCACACTAGCCGTCCAGGCCCCGCCTGGTTATTTTATAAATTTTCCTTTTTTTAAAAGAAAAATGGTTTTTCGATAAAATATAGCCTAGATCCCTCCTGAAATTACTTTCTATCTATTCGTTAGTGTCACCATAATCTATTCAGCCATTCCGAAGTTTAGCCCGGAAACATATTTTTTAAATGGTTATTTATGTCTTAATTACATGCAAACAAACACTCCGAGCTTAATAGACACCAGAGATTTCAATATTACAGACATACGCTTTAATTTTATTCATATATAGGTATAATAGTGGGGTAGGTTTTAAAAATAATTTAAAAATAAATATATCAAGTCTAGCTCAAGTCAATAAACTTTAGCAATTTTCGAAAAAGTACTGAAAAGGCGTGATTAGCAGACGAGCAACATTGTGCACAGTTTAAGTCTATGTGATACACTTAAAACGGCGTTTAAAAGCAAACCTAATGTTCTTTCTTAATGGACGTAGGTTTTAATACTGTTCACTTTACAAACAATGGAACTATTGTGTCAAAAACCGCCGCCTACGCCTCAACACGGGTCGTCTGTTTCAACGTGACAGAATGAACTTCGATGAATAGAACATTTCTCGAAATTAAATACACCAAATGGACATTGCAAATGCTATATCCTTGATAAAATGAAACAAAATAAGACGCAGGTACTAAAAATAAAATCAAAGAGGAAAATATTCTGAATACATTTGAGTTTGAAATCAACGTCATTGAACTGTTAATAATAGGTCCTTAAATATGAAATTGGCGTTTTGTACGGGAGGCACGTAAAGTCAATTTTTAAGCTATTGCATAGCTTCTATCGCGGGCCTTGAGCGCGGGGACCGAATCCAGAAATTCCGTAACGAAAAAACCTCACCCTCCCCACTCCGACGGGCACGGAGGTGTGGCGTTGAAAGCCGTGCATCGACTAACGTCGTTTCAGTTCGGCAGACTTCGGCACTCGGCAGACTTCGGCACGGTGTTTGTGTGCGTGCGACTAGACGTATGCGTGTACACTAGCTGCTAACTCAATGATAAAAATTCCTGAATAACCGACATGTATTGTAAGACATTAAAAATATTTTAAACAATATTAACTCTCATTTATTCAATAAGAGAAAAAAATTGTTTTCTTATCGGTCACCACGCTCAAAAAGTGTAACTTGATTTAATATCAAAGACTTAACTGCATAAATAAAATAAATAAATAATTATAATTGCATATGTTGATAAAAAATGGTATTCAATAGCTTTACCGCGGCAGTCACCGAGTGCCACACGTATTATTTTTTTTGTAAAATGTATTTAACCAATTAAAGTGTGCACCGTTGTTATCAATGCATTTGTAATCTGTTGGAGCATGGTCCGGGGAGTACGGTGGATGTCGCAGACATTCCAATTGTAGCTCATCTAACTTGGTGGTTATTTGTTGTGCAGTGTGTGGTCTTGCGTTGTCGTGAAGCAGCAGTGGCCTAGAGCGATTGACCAATCTCGGTTGTTTAGCAGATAGTTATTCCTTCATACCAAACACTCACAAGTAATTTTTCCGAGTTAATTTTCGTTTAGGGCAAGATTTGGCTTGGTGTCCAGGGTGTAGCCATTGCGACGAGCGCTTCCGATTATCGTACTGTATCCATTTTTCATAACAAGTAATGATTCGATTTAAAATCCCTTCATTTTTGTGTCGGTTAAGCAAAGTAATACAGCAGTCGACGCGTGTTTGCAAGTTCGATTCACTCAATTCATGAGGAACACACCGTTCAACTTTTTTTACTTTCCCGATTTGCTTCAAGTGGATTAATATAGTTTTATCGCTTACCTCGAAGTCTGCAGCTATCTCTGAAGTGCTTTGTGATGGATCTGCTTCCACAATAGCCTCTAATTCTTCATTTTCTACTTTGGTCTCCGGCCGTCCACGGGGTTGGTTCTGAAGATCGAAATTTCCAGAAAGAAAACGTTGAAACTAAAAACGTAACTTCTTTTTGTGACACCAGCGACGTACACGTTTCTACTAAACTAGTGCCACGGTAGAACTCGTACTTGTAAATATACAGTTATTTCATGTTTTTCACTGTGCGGTAGATAATAAGCGACGCCAAAGGAAAAACTTATGAGGAAAAACCAATTGAATGACTGTTTTCAAAACTCAAATGTACCAGCTAAATGAATTTATAAATTTGAATTTGGAATTCCTAACTAAAATGGAGATATTTCAGATCAAAGTGGTCAGTACGACAAAACGCTAATTTCATATGTAGGGACCCAATAATTAAGCACCTTCAACACTGACAATATCTGAAACGAAGCTGTTGAAAATAAGGTTTTATGAAATTTTCCCGGCTTTTTAATACCCTCGATTCAGGTCATTCTCCTTCTTTACAGTTATTTAATCATTTACCACTTACAATCTCCGGACCGGTGGCAACATTACATCAGAATAGCGCGAGAACTGGGATACCTGGCGGCTTCCACTGGGAGGTTTTCTGAAATAAAAACATATGCTAGAATTCGAATAGTAGACCAGATACCATTCATAAAAATGAAATAATATGGACAACAATGGACAGAAGTCGCTTTTCTGTCCATTTTATTAAAAAATTATAGTGTAACTTAAATAAATTAATAAAAATTATTTCACAATATTAGTCATAAGTATTAGCTCTATGGTATTAACTGGCAGGATAATGGGCTCTATATTGTCCTGCTAGTTAATATCGTAGGTTGTAATGAGCAACGTTTATTTTTATTTTAGCACATGCAATATAATTTGTTAATTGCCACACTTGATTGAAAATAAGCAAATAAAAACAAAAAAAAAATTGTTTGAAATTTTTGTATTCAATTTTTTCAATTATTGTTAGTTTATAAATATCTCCGTTGGAAAAAAAAACTACATATAAACCCATATATCGATCGATCGAAATTCGGTCTGGAGAACATTAATGTTATTAATTTAAAGTGAAGTAAGTCTAGATACAGGGTTACGTAAAAAAGATTTTAAATAATATACTTTTCTTTCAGAAATTAGGACTTTGTGTATGGTAATTATGGCGAAACGGAACCCCGAGGCTTACAGCCTTTGCAGGTAGAGTATCCCACCAATGACAGCACTAGATACTCCAAGTAAGTCACTGGCAATTTAATAGTATTCCATTAATTTGGTGTAAAATAATAAAACCTATGGTTTATATAAAAACAAATTATTAAAACATTATAACGCTCAGTAAAACGCGGAAGTATATATATATAGTGTTTATATATATTTTTTGTATATATTTATACATAAATAATAAAATAATATAAAGTAAAAAAGTTAATAATAAATTATGCGTTTTACTTCTGCGTCTGAAAAAGCCTATTGTCTTCTTTTCTTTGTAGGGCTATCTTGTATCTGGCTAGCTTTTTGGGTTATAAGTGCAAGTTTTTGTTTTAGAGTGTCTAAAAATTCAGCTGGTCTAATATTATTTTTATCATAAGTTGAATGAAATTTATATTTATTAAATATTAAAACAATTTTCTTAACTAATCTAGGATGTCTATTATTGTTAGTAAATTGTTTTAATCTAGACACATCAGTGCTCAGGATAGATATATCTATTTCTAATCTTATTTGCCAAGCCGGCTTATTGTTAAATGAATTTCGCCTTTTAAGGGGCCGTTTGAAATTTTATATCCTAATAGTTTTGAGACAACTAAATTTATGAGGGTATGAATATGTAGTAACTCAGAATCAATACTATAGAATTTGGGTAATATATGACCATTGAAAATGTTTAGTAAACTATATGCTGCTTATTTTCTTTCAATCGCGGCAGTTTGGGTCTTATTTTGGGATCCGTACCAGTATACAATGCTAGATTAGTCTTGAGTCCGCTGGTTAATTTCTGTACTAAACCATCATCTAGGAGATTTATTTCAGCTGGGTGTGATACACTTAAAATACTAGTTTGAGCTGTGAAGCTCATTGCTATAGTTTGTGTTGCAGAATCGGATGTTAAGGTAATTGATTGAGTTCCTAATAAGGAAGAGGGCGGAGATGACTGACGAAGGCTAAAAAGGTTGAAATTTGAATTACCCGCCGTCATATGATTGGTGTCTCTTATATCTGAACGTGAGCCCGAAATTTTATTCGATTTGCCTTTAGGGAAGGGTTTATATCCTGTAGGACCCCGAACATGGTGCAGCAGCAATCGTAAACAGAAACATTCAAAATTAGTTACACGGACGGTATACACACGACCAAGCGCATCTGATGACTTTACACCGGGCCAATTTGCAACAGCAACGCACCTTGAATACGGCGTTTCCACTCGTTCCTAGTTGTGTTCCAAGTATAATAGCGGGGGACTTCAGAATATAATAACGTTTTTGCAAAGGGGTCGGTTTGACAAAGTTGAAAGAAGGCTGTTAGTGTAGTTTTTGGCGGTGATGCAATTATTTCTTGGAAATTTCTTTCGGTGAAATATACACGCTCTCCATTTTCTAAGTGCACAGCAAGGTGAGTAGCTGTTGGGTGCCTTTCGTGTAAAGGGAAGCCAAAGAGACGCCATGCTGTCTCGTTACTGCTGACATCACACCCTGCTTGAAAGGTCTGTACTTCATTAACGGGATTTGCCTCACCTTCACTCCTGAGATTAAATATTGCTTGGTCGCTTAATTTATTTATGTATTTATAGATATACTTGATTACGCAGACAGAGCTACATGCTTCTATATTAATGTGGGCATTAAGCATTTTAAATAGAATGGGCGAATACGGGACAATCCAGCTGTTTTCTAAGGTTTCGAACGCTCCAGAACGAGATTTGATTGCTTTCTGCTTTCCTTTCCTGCCACCATCTTCGGAAGCTCTGCGTCTGTATAAAGGGTAGCCATTGTCATTGTGCACTGTTTCTTTTAATAGTTGTTTAGGGAATTTCTTTGTACATTTTCCTTCTTTCATACATGGCGATATTGAATTTCGTGCTACACATGGACCGTGAATCATATTTCGGACGATGGTATCATACAATTCTTTATCTTGCTCAGGATCCGGAATCTCGGCGCTTATTATGTCGTCTATTTGGCTGGGCCGCAACTTCTCTTTAAGCCATATTAGAATGTGGGCATGGTGTAATCCTCTTTTTTGCCATTCAATTGAATACATGAAGCACTGCAACTCTCCGAAAATTTTCCCTTTGTTAATAATAATAATAATAATAATAATATAATTTATTTAGTTCCAAACATATACACAAATTATCATAACATAATTATTTAATGGAATGAACTAAAAAGGCGTCTACTCAGTAGAAATGTTATAGAAACCACATAGTGGTAACTACAACTACTGATTTTCAGTAAACGCCAAAGACATAGGTGGAATAGAATGCAATAGAACTTATTATACTAATCACAGGTTCCAACACTTATGAAAATACATACTTTACTTATATAAAAAAAGCATTTAGGAAAAGGGCACAACAAAAAAGCCAACACAACAAAAAGCGCAACAAAAAGCATGTACAAGGCACAAGACACACTATTAAATTATTTGACAAGATACAAAAGCAAAATAAATAAATTTACAATTAAGCAAGTATACGTTAGTTTTATAATATATAGACACAGTATACTTTATAAGAAAAATGTGATACATCGACACAGAATTCTACTCACTTTGCAAATTTAAAAGGTATTCTTTTAGTTTTATTTTAAAAGTGCCAACTGTTTTGTTGCCCTTGATCGGAGGCGGTATATTATTCCAACACTTTGTGGCAGCATACCGAAAGCTACCACGAAACGCGGCCGTTCTGTGTCTTGGGTACAATAATCGAACAGTTTCCCGCGAGAGACGTTCCGAGAAACTGAGCCCTTCATATAAGTATTTTGGTTGTTGATTTTGTAATAATTTATAAAGTAAACAACTGTAATGAACCGATCTACGAGATTTCATATTAATAAGTTTGCCCTGATTTAAAAACGGTGTCACATGGCCTCTACGAGGAATTCGATAGCAGAACCTAGCGCATGCATTTTGTACTCGTTGTATAACAAGTTTTGTTCGCGCAAGCAAACACTCTCCCATGACAATGTCAGCATAATTTAGCTTAGAGAGTATTAATGACTCGCAAAGTTGAACCCTTAATTCTTCACTTAAGTATTGCCGGATATTATATAATATTTTTAATCTATAAAAACAATTTTTCACTGTATGCATAACATGATTTTCAAACCTTAGTCTACTGTCCATAATTATACCCAAGTTACGAACTTCAGATACTTGTTCAATATGGTCGCCACCAACAATAATTTTGGGCTTATGAGCATTCGTTCGTTCTATTAATTTCTTTGACCCCAAAATCATGAACTAGGTTTTATTTGGATTTAAGATGAGTTCATTATTACTCGCCCATTCAGCGATCATACTTAACTCCTGATTTAATTTGTTAACTGCCTCATTTGTATCACTCGGCCTAAATGATATGTATACTTGAAGGTCGTCTGCATATAAATGATACTGGCAATATTTAAAACAGCTTGTAATATCAGCACTGTAGAGAATAAACAGTAAAGGACCTAAAATTGACCCTTGTGGAACACCACGAGTAGCAGGAGACGCAGCAGAAAAAATGTTGGTACCAGTTTCATTTCGAAGTTTGACTCGCTGTGTGCGACCATTCAAATAACTTTCAAACCATTTTAATGCGTTACAATCGAAACCATAATACACCAACTTCGACAGAAGTAGTGTAATATTTATTGTATAAAACGCACGCTAAAAGTCAAGTATAGTCAAAATTGTAGCCTCTCAGTTATCCTGCGCTGTCAGAATGTCATCGACAACACTCAACAGTGCTGTAACCGTGCTTAGTCCAGCCCTAAAACCTAATTGTTTAAGAGGTAAAATATTGTTCTGGTTTAGATATTCTATTAATTGTAAATAAATAGCCTTTTCAGCGATTTTAGATAAAAAAAGGCAGTATACTTATAGGGCGAATATTATTTAGTTCTATAGGATGATTATTTTTTGGTATAGGATTTATGATTGCTTCCTTCCAGATGTCTGGGAACACCGCTGTCTGTATAGACGTATTAATAATGGTGGTTATTGTCTTCAAAGTCCGTGGCAATGTTAAGAGAACCATATCTTTAGTGATATCATCAACACCCATAGCATTAGTGGAAATAGTTTTCAAAATTTCTGATACTAAATTTTCATCCACTAATTTTAAAGTGAAAACCGACGAATTGAATTCAAAATAGAATAATGTTGAAGGACTTACACTATTGCTTCCAGGCACGTGTAGAAAATGGTGATTTATTAAGTCAAGATCATTCAAGTTTGATGGCAAAGCAATATCTTTTTTGTTGAAGTCTACCACATTTTTCTTTATATTTCTCCAAAGTACTTGAGCATTTTTTGAATATTTATTAATAAAATATCGAAAGTAGGCTGTTTTTTCACTCAGTAAAGCAGCATTAACAGTACTCTTCAGATCTTTATAATATTTTTTGTTTCCTTTTGAATTATGGCCCTTACATTTTGCATGAGCTTTATCTCTTAGCTTCATCATTTCTTTAATCGTTGGTGTGATCCACGGATAGCTTTGGCATTTTATGTAGGACGTTCTTATTGGTGCATGAATATCAAACAGGTACAAAATATGTTCATTGAAAGCCGTTAAAGAACTGTTTACATAGCCGCAAAGCAACTCTTCCCAGAATACAGCATCAACATCAGAATTAAATTTTATTACGTTTATATCCTTAATTGGGCTATAAGTAATGGGTGTTGAGGATTGCTTCGGCTTTTTTTACGTTCAGCTCACAAGATAAAAAGCATGATGACTCAGATCTGGCACATAATCAACCTGTATATTAGATACATCACAGCTACTGCAAATTAAGTCAAGTAAAGTTTCCGAGTGATCAGTAAAATGAGTCGCTTGTGTGACGTACTGCCTTAGACCCATACAAAGAAGAAAATCATTGAGCTTTTTAGAATTAGGATCAGAAGGTGCAAGAAAATTAATATTGAAATCTCCCAACAGTATAATATAGTCGTAGGCTGAGAACGAGCTGACTGTATCAGAAAGATCATTTATAAAATTATCAACGTGAAACGAAGGAGGACGATACGCGGTACCTATGGCAAGTTTCAGACCATTAGCTTTAACACCTATCCACATCTGTTCAATAGTGAGCGTACTCGGATGGTCCAGGACGCGAGCGTGGATACCATTTCTAATGTAAAAACCAACACCCCCTCCTCGTGCTCGGACGCTTGTAGGACGCGGTTTGTGTCGTAGCTTGTATCCTGGAGGGGACGGTGCGCGCAGTTCCTCACCTGGCTTCAACCACGTTTCATTTGTCGCCATAATATCTACCGCATGACGATCAAGGGAAACCAAAAATTCATCATGTCGTGTACATAAGGAACCCGGATTCAGAAAACCAAGAGATAATTTTTTTTTTATTAATAAATTGTATGATAAAAGAGTATGTTATCTGAACATATTTGCAATTAAATAAATATTTTCTTATTAAAGTCAGATGTCGCATATCCACAAATGAACGCGTCGATAAATGCAATAATAATTTATGAAAAATAACGAACGTCTTGTAATATACAAGTATTTAGGCTATTCCTAGAGTAATTTTATTTAAAAATGTTTTAACGCACATTGTGACATAGAAATTATTATTAAAAAAAAGACAATATAAAATGCTTGCGAAGAGTCAAACTCTCAAAACGAACAAAACATAAATCAAATTAAAAAAACAAAGAAATATCACCTCCCTCAACAATAGCACTAAATAGTTTAGAAAATAAAGTATACAAGTGATGAAAGGAATTTCCGTTGAAGATCTATTAAGAAAGCTTAGACAATTGCATATATACAGGTAAAACTTTATACAATATATTATTATTAGGCCATAAAAACTATTGTAACATATCACATATTTCACAAGATAATTATATGTGTAACATAATTTAATACTTTCTCTAACACATAAATAAAACACTAAATTGTAAGAAGATATCTTTGAGTACATAACCTTTGTGTCATTATAAAATATTATTGAATATGTTGAAGCAAGCAAAAGTATATTAATACATTTATATATCTTAACTTTATATACCGCTAATCTGCCAGAATATAACAATGAAACGTATGTTAATGTAACATTTATGAAATAAAAAAAAGTAATTTAATGTTAGAAGTTTGTATAAAAATAATTATAAATAACATATTCTTATTATTCGCCGTGTGACATAGTTTTAGATCCAACAGCTTCCACAGCAAAAACCTTAGTCAAATCTTCTTCCGACCGAAGCCGATGTCGCTCACTCCCATGTTCCTTCCTTACATAAATCTTTCCATCACGTGACCATACATACTTCCAACCAAGCCTTTTCGCTGTCACACGGGCTTTATAAAATAACCGGCTATTGTGCTTAGTAAGACGCTCGTTGACATAGATGGTGCGAGCTATTCCCGTCAGTCCCAAACCTTCAGTGGTGATATTGCGTCGTACTCGTGCCGCCTGTATTAGAGCATCACGCTGAGCACGACGCGCCAATCGCACGACTAAAAGGCGTGGCCGCGGAACTGAAGAGCCCTCGCCATTATCACGTATAAAACCTGTACGCTCTGAAGACACCACATCGCGCTCATCCAGATCCACGCATAATTTCTTGGCAATAGCCAAGATAATATGTGTGGTATTTTCACCGCTCGTTTCAGGGAATCCCGCTATCTGGATATCATTAGCGAGTAAGTCTTGGTCACGTTCCAATATTTGTGACTTCAACTGTGACACTGTCTCTTCCAAAGTCGAAACTTCACAGCGTTGTAAGCCTTTTGACTTGTCTTCTAAGGCTGATATTCTGGTTTCGATGGAGTCAATGCGGCTGCTTTGCATCTTAATGGCAGTCATAAGATCTGTCATAGAATTACGGAACAAGCGTATCTCAGCACGGATTGCCTTCATTTCACCAAGAAGCAGTTTGAAGTCCATAGCTGTATCATCGAGCGATTCTGACATAATATTCTCCATGATGATGCTGTCCTCTTCATGAATGTTGACCTGAGTATTTTTTGTAGGTGGTTTGCCGCGGACTGCCACATTCGAGTTGTCTGGTGAGACAACCAAAGTCGGGGACTAGAAATTTCAGACTCAGCAGTACGCACTGGTGTATTCAAATTATTCGTTCGCGGGAGTTTGCTCACACATGAAAGGCATTTCCAATTATCTTTACGCTCCTTATTAAACGAATAAAAAGAATAGAAGCGTTTACTACTTATATTTAGACATTCAATGTCATAGACTCCTTTACAATTACAACAACGTAGATATTCTCTTTTGGGTAAAGGTTTCGCACATGCAGCACAAGTCTCGGATGGTGGCGACATTATTTCACACAATAGATTCAATATGACTAACAATCTAGGACTTACTTCAAAATTAAAATATTCCCAAATCAGATGAATGCGCGCGCCCTCTTATGGGTGACCGTAGACTTAATGTAACAGATCGATTAGCATAAGCTCGTACCTATCTATATTTCGCCAGTAATTAGTAGATGGCGTGATATATCAAAAATAGTTATTCTCTTCAGGTAATCTATTATCACATAGATGGCGCTGATTTAATCAGATGTACGAGTAACATAAATTTAAACATTTCAAACTACCATAACTGTCACTTTAATACAAAATTTCTGTTTTTTCACTTTAACACAAAAATAGAGTGTTGATAGCAATGTGGCTTAGTTCGTTAATACTGTACCTTAGCGCTTCACTTTAAAAACACTGTCTTATTACAATAAATTACACAACAATTGATAGTTCACTAATTCACTGGATTACTTTTATCAACTTTGCACTGTTAATATAGCTCCAAACAGCGTGATAACACTAATACTTAGATTATAAAATAGTTACGTAAAGTTTGTTTATAATATTTATAAAACAAAAATTATACGGAGCCTATGTTAACTGCTCAAATAGCGCCACCTGTCTTCAACTTACAATTACATACATTAACTTCTGTACTTTTAATCTAAATATTCTAGCAACTAAATCGTGTCTGTCAGTACTTTTTTGGCTCGGTTTAGCTCCTCGGTTATTTCTTTCTGTTGGCGACGCGCCTATAAGAATATTTCAATTTATTAAGTTAACCGATTACGAATAGCTTGTAAAAAGCAAATTCTCAAGTAACAATATTCCGATAAGAAAATGCTTAGTTGAATCTTAAAGAAATATCAAATTAATGATATGAAGGTCTTGGGTTCGACTCCCAGGCCGGAATGGTTTATCGTTTTCTTAGTAATATCTCTTAATAAATTCATATAGGGAATTTTTAAGATATAAATTATGTTACCGGATTTGTTCCCCGGTTGAAATCATCTCTCCAATGATGTAAATTTAAAGGAATATTAAAATAAAGTTAGAGATCGGATTTATTCCCCGGTCGAGATGATCACTTTGTGAGTAAATAGAATTAATGGAAATTAATAGCATAAGTGTTGTCTTATATGGGTTTAATATGTTTTGCATGAAAACAAATGCCTATTTGCTATGATTGATTTATGAAAACATTCACTTATATTGTTATCTGAAAAGAGATATGATAACTGATAAGAATCTGATTAGAAATAGTTTCCTACAGTTTGAGAATTGTGTAAAAGCATTGATTCACCTTAGTATTGTTGATATTGGTATATATTAGACTTTCCATTTTTTCTGATAGTCGATAGCCGTGCAAAGTTAGTTGTTCAAATAGTGTGAGTTCACGGACACACGCTAGCCACGTATTTAGGAGGCCAAATATGTAAAAATTTAAATATTTGTAATTTCAGCAATTTATGTAAAAATGACTTTTGAAACATTTCAGATTGATTGTATGTATAAAAAAAGTGAATTCTGTGTTATATTTATGTGAAAATTCCTGTGAATAAGTGAAATAATGATAGTTTTGTATAAGAAATTTAAAAGTGTTTTAATAATGAAATGAATAGGAAAAATGTAAATTAAACTATTGTATTAGTTAAGATATGTATAATTTCAAGTGGAAAACATTGTTTTAACTTTCTATGTTAAATATTTAAGAAATTTCAACTTCGAACGTGTGAGTAAAATAAGCATATTTTGTTCAACAAATAAAAGGTTTTTTGTGATATGAAAATGTAATGTATATCATAGTATAGATATTTTTTGTGCTATCTTTATAAGTAAATTGTATAATGTATGACTTATGCAAATAAAGTTATTAAATAAACCGTGAAAGAGTGATAGAACAAATTCAAGTAATTGAGTTGCGCAAGCGCGCGAATGGCGCGGCTCACTTTCGCGTATAGCTCTGGGGTAGCTCAGTAAACGGGTTTTCTTGCAATTCGTACCATCTGTATAGGAGGGACGAGGTCACTTCTCAAGGGGCCGCTTACAGAGGGACAGCGGTCCTAGTGAGAAGGGACATCGTCCATCAAGAACTAGACCTACCGGAATACCAGACTATGCGCTCTATCGGCATAAAAATGGAGGCGGCGGGCGAGGAACTTAGGATCTTTGCAGCATACCGCCCGCCAGGGACTCCATTTTGCTCCTCAGACGTCCGGACGGTAATGGAAGGCGAAACACCGACCATCATCGCCGGGGACCTAAACGCCAAACACCCGGCGTGGGGATCTAGACTGATCAACCCGCCGGGTCATGCGCTATTCGAAGACGCCGAAAGATACGGCTATGACGTTTTAGGTCCTGAAGAACCGACACATATTCCTACGGATCCACGAAGTCGTCCGGATGTACTGGACATCGTGCTCGCTAGGAACATCAACTACCCGATAGTGGTAGAGGTGCTGTACGACCTGAAATCACAGCACCTCCCGATCTTAATTACCCTTGGCCTAAAGGCGGTGACTACGCCGCCCAGAACAGTGAAGACACGTGTCGACTGGAGGCTCTACCACAAACACCTGCAGGAGAGACCTCCAGCACACCACCCCTTAAATACAGCGGACGACGTAGAGGCCGCAGCCACAAACATGACAAAGGCAATACAGGAGGCCCTCAACGCTGCCTCTACGATCGTCCCGATGTCCTCCAGAAGGGATGATCTGCCGCATAACATCTGCGTGCAGATCAAGAGAAAAAGGGCTTTAAGGAGACTTTGGGCGCGTACTCGCTGCCCGAGGATCAAAACGAGACTGAACACCTTGTCGGAGGAACTGTCGGTTGCAGTCCAGGTACACAGAGGAGATGCCTGGGAGCGGCGCATATGGAAGGCGGAAGAGCACGATGCGTCGCTCTACAAACTGAACCGGCAGTTAACTAAAGCCAAACCTCCCGTTTGCCCGCTGACCAACAACGCGGGTGAACGTCGTTACGATGCCAAGGGGGAGAGCGGATATCCTAGTCGAGCACTTCGAGGAGCAATTTATGCCGAACCCAGCAAGTGCGGAGTTCTTGGAGATTCATGCCCGAAAGGAGAGTCGCGTACAGGAGTTCCTGTCGTCGCCCGCGCCGCCTCTTGCAGGAGAGTGGTTCATCTCCCCCCGCTGAACTGCGGTGGACAGCAACCCGCCTGCAACCGAGGAAGGCGCCGGGGCACGACGGGATTACCAACGCTGCACTCCGACAGCTGCCCCATAGAGTCCTAGTAGAGCTTGGTCGACTCTACAATGGGATCCTGCGGACATCCCACTTCCCGGAGGACTGGAAGAAAGGCAAAGATATCGTCTTGCCGAAACCCGGGAAGGACAGGCGTAGAGCTGCCAGCTACAGGCCGATCACGCTGCTACCACACATAGCTAAACTGCTTGAAAGATTGTTGCTAAGACGCCTCCGCCCGTGCATCCAACTTCGGGCGGAGCAGCACGGATTCAGGAGGGGTCACTCTACAGCAACACAGCTGACCAGAGTGCTGCACCTGCTTGCGGCCGATTACAACCGTGGCCGCACCACGTTGGGCGTCTTTCTCGATATCGAGAAGGCGTTCGACAGGGTGTGGCATTCTGGATTACTTTTTAAATTGGAAGAACAGACCAGTGTCCCTCCTGCTATGTTGCGGCTAGTGGCGTCTTTCCTGGCAGACAGAAAGTTCTACGTCTGCGTAGAGGGCGCCGAGTCCGCAACCAGAACCATCAGAGCCGGCGTTCCTCAGGGCAGCTGTTTGTCTCCAGTCCTGTACGCGGCTTATACCAACGACATCCCTACCCTGGCAGGCAGGCTGCAAGAATGGGAGGACGACGTGGAATTGGCGTTATATGCGGACGATAGCGCTTATTTCACCTCTTCCAGAAGAGCCCATATTGCCGCTGCCAGGATGCAACGCCTCCTGAACCTGTTGCCACCATGGCTAGATGAGTGGAGGATGGTCGTCAACGTTGGTAAGACGACCGCTCTGCTCACTCGCCGCCTCAGGAACCTACCACCTCCATTAACCCTCAATGGCCAGCAGATCGCGTATGAGAAGGCCGTGACCTACCTTGGGTGCCGGATCGACCGGGCGCTGCGCATGACTGCGCACGTCGACCTCGTCGTCCGTAGAGCACGATGTGCGCGGGCGATGCTACGTCCGGTCCTGGCATCCAAGCTACCACTTAACACCAAAGTGCGAGTATATAAAACCTACATCAGCGCCATTATCACCTATGCGGCTCCGGCCTGGTACGCGCTTCTGAGCGAGCCTCTGAGGCGGCGACTGCAGGCCCAGCAAAATATGGCGTTAAGAACCATCGTCGGTGCGGGTCGCTACGTCCGGAATGACGTCATAGCGGCCAACCTGAAGATAGACACCATACAGGAATTTGTGGCCCGGTTGGCGCGCGGACTGTTCGACCGTGCAGACAACGGGCCGCATATACACCTTAACAACTTTGCGCCGCTACACACTCGCCCCCCCGGACGGGCGACCCTATCCAAGAGAACTCCTCTCTATATCGATTAGAGAGTCGAGTAACAACCCTCAATGCCGCTGAAAGGCCAACCCTGACTTTACTGGATAACCTTCTTTTTTCGTAGTCTTAACCGGCTACGAAAAAATTTTACCGATTA